TAGGTAACATAATAACATTTGCATCTCTCGATTTAACTATTGTGCCATGTTATAACTGTAACATCATTAATGCCAGCCCTCCATATTTGTAACATAAGAACATAAGAAATAGGAGCAGGAGTAGGCCATTCGGCCCCTCGAGCCTGCCCCGCCATTTAATAAGATCATGGCTGATCTACTAATCTAATTCCATTTACCCACCCTTTCCCCATATCCCTTAAGTTTTTAAAAATCTATCGATCTCAGTCTTGAATATGTTCAATGACTGAGCATCCACAGCCTTCTGGGGTAGAGAATTCCATAAATTCACTGAGTGAAGAAATGTTTTCTCAACTCAGTTCTAAAGGGCTGACCTTTAATCTGAGACTATGAGCCCTAGTTTTAGATTCTCCAACCAGGAACACAAAGCTTCACATTTTGAATCAGTTCAAAGCTTCTGTTCACAAAAATGCTAATGAATTTTCATCCCATGCTTGTGGTGCTTTCTCAAAGATTTGGAGTTCTGTTCTTTGTATGAAGTTCAAAAACAAAGTTATCCCCTTCAGAACAAGGCTTGCTGGGGAATGCACTAGGCTTTGAGAATGCCTTGTCCATGATAATCTAACTAACTTCTCTACGTTTTTCTGTGTTCACAGCAAGCACGATAGTCCAATCTGAGAGACATATGACCTTGTTACAGATGTTAATTTGACTCAGTTGGTAGCACTCTCGCCTCGTGAGTGAGTTAAAAGGCTGTGAGTTAAAGCCCTTAGTTTAGACATTAGCATCTTTCCTAGACTACAGGGCAGTACTGGGGGAGCTCTGTATTGCTGCAGCTACTGTCCTTTGATGAGATATTAAGTTGATAATCTGTTCAAGTGGATGTTAACGTGGGTATTTAAGTGCATGCCTTTGTTTTGTCTGGTACCCTGTATAGCCCTTTTCATAAAGAAAAGGGAACTTCATACAATATCCTGGCTAACAATCTTCCAAATAAATTTGTTATTGCACTTCAGGGCTGTATGTGGGACCTTGCTATGCACAAATTGGCTGCCTACATAATATATAGTGTTGACAGCATATACTATGAAGCACTTTGAGACATTTCAATCTCAGAGACATTTTACTGAATGCAGAGATTGTGATTATGTCTCCAGCGGGTCAATGTAGTTAATGTACACATGCACATTTAAAATGTGACGATAAGTATTTGTGGTGAGACTGGCAGCTTTTCATATTTAAAGATACGCATGCTTAAAGTTATGTTGTCTTGTAATTATCCTTTCATGTTGTGGTTCAGTTGGCTAATGAACCAACTTCATAATGCATTGAAATCAAGTACCTTATCAGCGCAGTCTGGTTATGCTTGGGTTCCATCTATACCACTCTGAATTTCAGGATTAGTAACTGTCAAACATTACCTAAGCACTGCACTTCTAAACATGGGCTAACAGTCTCAGTTATATCTGTTATTGTACTTTGTTTCAATCAAATGGTCACATATCTCAGGTTAATTTAAAGTTAAAGAACTATTTTAATACAATTACTATCACTTTAATGTACTATTGTTTTAATTGGGAGGCCCATTATCAGACGTACCTGGTTTCCTGGTGCTTGTACCAACCTGATTCCTGCCCTACCGAAATGCAAGCCATTGGTTTTAGCTACTTAATTTCTAGTGGTACCCCAAAAACTTTATAAGGTCCCTAATCTCTGGATCTTCTCTCCAGGGTCTGCAACCTTTCCTATTATCTGCCTAATTGTCTTCAGACTTTAGTCAGAAGCTTGACTACTTTGCCTTTGTTTTGCCGATCCCTGCCTGCTGCTTGCCTGGAACCCCACATTAACTGAATTGGTGCTCACCTGGCACTAACTTGAACAGCCACCTGACAACTTTCCATCACAGCTTCTTGGCCCAGTGTATTGTATTGCGATTGATATTTCTCATTATTTCCCTTTTTGAGGCTTTTCAGTCAACGAACCTTCTGTAGGAGAAAGAAACGGGCTCTTCCTGCACTATTTGGAACGACTTATCAGTGTAAGCTGACGTGAAGGCTACAACTCACTATCAGTCACCACAAACTGGACATTGCATGAGATGATGTGTTGATAAAGATAAACATTATCACAAGGAATGGATTGTAAAACATATGTGAGTTCTCTCCAGTGATGGTCCATGGCTATTAAAGTGTAAGCATCAGACAAATGCCGCAGCTAATTTACACACAGCAAGGTCCCAGAAACAATCATGAAGCGAAAGACCAGAAGGATTAGTGACCAGGACATCGGGGAAACTCCTTTCTCTTTTCAAATCTTGCTATGGTTTAAAGCTTCCTCGAAAGGATGGCAAACTTGACGACACAGGTTCCCCTAGCACTGGGATGGATTGTCAAACTGGATTGTGGGGTCAAAGTCCAACATTTACAATATTACTAAGAAGCTAGTACTAAGAAATATCTATTATTTGCATGCTATCCTTAGAATTTCTGTTGGCAACTGAATGATCTTGAATTACAGAGCTTTAGAATCTGAATGGGGGGACTGGGCTCTTTCTATTTTACCAGAACCTGGTTTTATGGAGTTTCTGCAGCATTTTCCACCTTTCAGGAAACTGGCAGGGAGTAACGAGTGGTTTAAATAGTAATAACAATAATAATAATCATATTTAATATAGCACTTTTCATATGCTGGATTGTTCCAAAGTGCTTCACATGCTACACTGTAAAGTGGAGTGACCATGTTTTTGTAAGTTAACGTAGCAACCAATTTGAACACAGCAATGTCCCCCAAACAGCTATGAGTGAACTTCCAATTTTATCTGGGGATGGTTGGTCAGGACAACATGAAGACAATTGTGGATTCCTGTAGCTCAGCGGTTAGAGCACTCGCCTCGCTAGAGAGAGACCTGGGTTCGATTCCTGGCAGGACAAAACACTGGGCAAGTTTTCTTACTCCACGTGCCTCTGTTTACCTGGCAGTAAGTAGGAACCTGTTTGTTAGTCAATTGGCGGATCGCTTTTCCTGGGATAATAATTCCTTAAAAGAAATTGGTCACTCAATCCATGACTGTTTGTGGGACACTGCTGTGCACAATTGGCTGCAGCATTTCACCCACAAAATATAGTCAATTTATTTTACAGTATATTCTGTGAAGAGCTTTGAGACCTGTCGAAGACGTGAAAAGATACTATATCAAATACAAGGATTATTATTATTATCTCTTCTCTTCTCAAATAGTGCCATGGGATCTTTAACGTCCACTTGAACAAACAGACACGATCTCGGTTTGAAGGACAACATCTCCGACAATACAGTACCTCCCACCCCCACAATGAGTGAGTGAGATATAGTGAGTGAATGAGTGAGTAAGTAAACAAGATACAGTGAGTGAATGAGTGAGTAAACGAGATACAGTGAGTGAGATAGTGAGTGAGATAGTGAGTGAATGAGATTGAGTGAGTGAGTGAGTGAGATACAGTGAGTGAGAGAGATACATTGAGTGAATGAGTGAGTGAGTAAACGAGATACAGTGAGTGAGTGAGATAGTGAGTGAGATAGTGAGTGAATGAGATTGAGTGAGTGAGTGAGATACAGTGAGTGAGTGAGATACAGTGAGTGAGAGAGATATTGAGTGAGAGAGTGAGTGAGTGAGGTACAGTGAGTGAGAGAGTGAGTGAGATACAGTGAGTGAGTGAGAGAGATACATTGAGTGAGAGAGTGAGTGCGTGAGATACAGTGAGTAAGTGAGAGAGATACATTGAGTGAGAGAGTGAGTGAGATACAGTGAGTGAGATACAGTGAGTGAGTGAGAGAGATACATTGAGTGAGAGAGTGAGTGAGATACAGTGAGTGAGTGAGAGAAAGAGAGAGATACATTGAGTGAGAGAGTGAGTGAGTGAGATACAGTGAGTGAGTGAGAGAGAGATACATTGAGTGAGAGAGTGAGTGAGATACAGTGAGTGAGTGAGTGAGAGAGAGATATACGTTGAGTGAGAGAGTGAGTGAGTGAGATACAGTGAGTGAGTGAGAGAGAGAGATACATTGAGTGAGTGAGTGAGATACAGTGAGTGAGTGAGTGAGCGAGTGAGAGAGTGAGTGAGATACAGTGAGTGAGTGAGCGAGTGTGATACATTGAGTGAGTGAGTGAGTGAGAGAGAGATACATTGAGTGAATGAGTGAGTGAGTGAGTGAGCACTATCCCACACGGAGTGACACACCACCAATTGAACGACACATTATCGGTAGTCACAGCCTCGATGGTTCGTTAAGTGCGGTTTCTATTTCGTTTTCCTTAAAAAAAACGTCGTCACCCCCTCCCCCCCCCCCCCACACCCCCACAGTCTAAATAACGACAGAACATGAACCCCCCCCTCGGTGCAGAAATGAGTTTGCAAAGCTGGAGACTCTCCATCACAAGCCCTGAGCCACCTGCCTCAGCCCAGCAGTCCAAGCTGAGCAGTGGGGGCTGATCTGATCCTTGGTGCTTGTGTCTCCTGGGGGTGGGGGGGCTGCCCTTCCTGTAATACCCCCCACCCCGACAACTCAACCCCCCCCCCCCCCCCAGGTGTCCAGGCCGGGCATCCACACCCCATCCTGTCTTCTGCACTGAGCTGATCCCTCAGGCAGCTTCTCACTTTCTCTCCATCTCAGCCCTGTCCTGTGCACTGTGCAGAGAGAGAGAGAGAGAGAGAGCCATCTGTGTGTGTGTGTGAGAGTGAGTGAGTCTGTGCTGTTCTGGATACTCACTGATCGCACTGCGCGCCTACAGCTGCCAGTGCCCGACTTCTCCTCGTGAGTGTGTGTCTCTGTCTGTGTGTGAGTGAGTGTATTAGAGGTCTGTGTGTGAGTGAGTGGTTTGTGTCTTTGTGTGTCTGAGTGTATTAGAGGTCTGTGTGTATGTCTGTGTGTGAGTGAGTGAGTGGATTATAGGTGGAGTGTGTGTGTCTGTGAGTGAGTGAGTGTATTAGAGGTCTGTGTCTGTGTCTGTGTGTGTGTGTGTGAGTGAGTGAGTGGATTATAGGTGGAGTGTGTGTATCAGTGTGTGTGTGTGTAGCAGATCGGAGCAAGATGCTGATGATGGCGTTTACCCTAAGAGTATCCTTCCTACTCCTCATCTGCCAAAGTAAGTGCTAACCTTTCCTTGCGTTTGGTGCATTGATCCTCTCTCTGTGCGCTTTGCTCTGCTCTGTGCTGCTGCTCTGCTCTGTGCTGCTCTGCTCTGCTCTGCTGCTCTGCTCTGTGCTGCTCTGTGCTGTGCTGCTGCTCTGCTCTGCATGAAATCTGGACCATTTAATGGTATAACGAGGTGAGATGTGCAACGCGGGGCTTAGTGTGGACCAGAGATCTGGAGGGATCAGAAGACGTGATAGTCACAGTTCGTGTTGTAATAAAAGTCACCACTCCAGCGAAGAGTGGGAATATATGGTCCTTTGCCCCTTTTGGATCAGGAGGGTAATTTGAAGCTGGTGTTGCTTTACTGTGTGGAGCCCCTGAATGCAGAAGTGTGTGGGTTTCTCTGTTTAAAGTTGCCTCTGGCTTGGATATTCTTTAGAAGCCCGGGGTCTGTCTCATATCAGGAAAATAAATCAATGCAACTCTGTGTGTATTAGTCCAGTTTATTAATCTTGGGACAAATTGTGAAGTTATGAAACGACCCCACCATGTGTGTGTATGTGGGTGGGTGTGTGTGAAAGATCTCCAGTAGAACAGGATCCACGTGTTATGAGGAAGCTTCATCCCATTTCATTAATATTTTATGATTTGGTCATTTGTATACGGTGCTCCAGCACAGCAAACAAATTGCCAACACGAGCTGGGGGAAATGTGGCTTTAAACCATTGAGCAGCTCTATCACTCTCGCTCAAATAGCCCCCAAATATTGTGAATGCAATGGTTGTGTCTTTATATTTTCAATTGCATCCCTTCAGCTTGCATTACTTTTTATTATTAAGGGGGTAATAAGCCCTTAAAAATAACTAACTAACTAACTAACTAAATACATACATACATACATACATACATACATACATACAAAAATATAGAAATACAGAAATACAGATGAATAAATACATATGTAACTAACTAACTAATAATAATAATAATTTGGTTACTCAATCAATGACTATTTGTGGGACGCTGATGTGTGCAATTGGCTGCGTGTTTCGCCCACAAAATATACAGTCAATTCACTTCACAATATATTCTGTGAAGCGCTTTGAGATGTCTCAAAGTCGTTATAAGTCACTATATCAAATACAAGGATTATTATTAATATTATATTTATTAACCCAGAATTATTCAGTTTGCTAATGGAAATGGAAAATGTGGACAGGCAGAATAGCAGTATTCTGCCCAGCAGATTGTTCAGCAGTGAAATAAAAGCATCAAATAATAATCATCACAGGTGGAGGGGGAGAGAAAAGGCCAATTGAGCACTTGGTGGAGTCTTGTTCAAGAAATTCTTTCAAAAATTCCTCAGCACATCAAAAGGTGAGATGTGTATTTAACATCACATCAGGGCTGGTGCGCTTGACTGAAGGGGAAAATTGCAAACCATCACCAGAACAATGAGATAGATAAATAAACTTCTGTATTCCAGAAGCGCTTTCTGCCTGAAAGCATGTTTGTACTTCCAATAGCAAGTAATCATAATAATCCTAGCATTTGATATAGCACCTTATCACGACATTGAGACATCTTAAAGCCCTTCACCGAATATACTGTCAAGTGAAAACTATAATAATAATCCTTGCATTTGATATAGCACCTTATCACATCTTTGAGCCGTTTCAAAGCACTTGACAGAATATACTGAAAGTGTAGTGACTGTATGTTTGGTGGGCGAAATTGAGCACAGCAGTGTCCCACAAAGAGTTGTGGATTGAGTGACTAAATTATTTTTATTATTATTTTTGAAGGGCTAATTATCCCCAGAAAGTAATCTGCCAATCGACTAACAACAGGCTCCCTAACTACTGCTTGGTAAACAGAGGCATGTGGAGCAAGGTTTTGCCTTGCTGGTAATTGAACCCACTACCCACGCTACCCACTACAAAACGGGACTCCATTTCTTTCCCTCAGAGGTTAGAGGGTTTGGGACGTCCTCCTGATGCGAAAGGCGCTCAATAAATGTAATTTTGTTCTTGTTGAATGGGTGAAGTCCATGAAATAGTATGTTTTGCATAGAATGTGGAGGGAGCAGGCTTGATGGGCTGAACATTGATCTCAGTCGATCAGGGCAATCGTTGAAAATTAGCCTCTGAGATCTGAGTTAAGTACCTACAACATAGCCTTATCTCCCTTCCTGCATAGGGTCTTGCTTACGTAAAATACTTCGAAATGTTTTATGTGAACAGTACTATATCACTATGTTATAGTACTATAACAGTACTATAACTATAACAGTACTATATCGTGGAGTCCTGTAGCTCAGTGGTTAGAGCACTCGCTTTGCAAGTGAGAGACCTGAGATCAATTCCAGGCAGAGGGCGAACCCTTGGGCAAGTTTCCTTACTCCACACGCCTAATAATAATCCCTCCAAAAACCAAAAACAATAATAAATTGGTCATTTTCAATCTACGATTGTTTGTGGGACATTGCTGTGCGCAATTGGCTGCCGCGTTCGCCCACAAATATACAGTCAATTCACTTTACAATGTGTTCTGTGAAGCGCTTTGGGACGTCCTCCCGACGTGAAAAGCGTTATATCAAATGCAAGGATTATTATTTATTATTTATCATAATAATTTGCACTTAAATTGAACTAGTGATAGAGAGCAAGGATGGGGGTGATAGGCTCATGGAGCTTAGTGCAGGAGAGAATGTAGACTTCTGGATGGTCCAGAGCTTGTGGAAGATGGAGCTGATGAGGCCAGTGAGCACACTGTTGGAAAAGTCAAATATGGAAATTACAAAGGGGTGGATGAGGGTTTGGGCTAGATTGGGGAGAGGTAATTGCACGGGTGGATAATGTTGTGGCAATGGAGGAAAACGGATTTGGTAGGAATCTGCATTAAAGATTTAAAGAAGAGCTGACGGTCAGATAAAATGCTAGGGTCCGTGAGTTGCGCTGAGCGACTTGAGAAGTTGACATGGTTAGCACCTAAAGTGAGGCGCCGCTAATGGGAACCAAGCAGATGGCTTGAGGTTTGTGAATGTTGAATTGGAAGAAAATGAGACTCATCCAGAGCTTGATGTGTGACAGTCAGTATGTCAGAACGGTGGTAGGGTCTAGAGTTGAGGTTGAAGGTAGAAAGGCAGAGTTAGGTGTCAACTGCATAATATAGAAATGGACTGAGGTCACCAAAGGAGAGCATGTAGTTCAGGATGAGAGGGACAAGGAACACTGAGGAACACTGCACAGGAGAAGAAGCCATTTGAGGACAACAACAACAACAACAACAAAATTACATTTGTAAAGCGCTTTCACATTGGGAGAACATTGCCTCTTAATGTATTTATTATAGTTATTGTAGGACGTAGGCCATAATATAAAAGAAACTTAAGTCTTGTGTCTCACACTATCAGAGACATAGTCGTTTATCCTATAGTCATTTATAATTTACTTTGAAGATAAGCCATTTATCTCTAACAAGTTACTCCTTCGTGAAGGTGCTTCTGCATGGACAATTTCAGCTATGTTTTAAAAAGTCTTAATTTAAAAACCTGCTTTCATAATAACTGTAGAAAGTGGCTTCTAAATTAAGACAACAGTTCTTTACAATCTTATATTCAAAGACAAAATGGTCTCACAGGCTAACAATAGAGTTTCAAGACGTTTAATTCTAACCAGAATTAAAATCAATTTCAGCTGTGATACTCACACAGTTAAATTGTCACAATTATCGCAATCTAACAATGAATAATAGCCATGTGGGTAAAGTGTCACAGTGCACCTGATACCAACAGTACCTTCACTATAAGGAGAAGCATTTTGAGGGAAAGGGGAGAAAATTGATGGAAAATTTCTTTTAATTGCAGCAAATCCTTATCCTTCTTAATGGTAATGATTTTTCATAGTTATATTGTCTAACTATAATATAATCTCAATTTCTGTCTAAAGGGTGGTGTACTTGCTGTCTGTTCAGATTAAATTGATCAGTTTTTAGTTTCTAATTCATGTTTCAAAAGTGCCGAGTATAAAATCTGAAATGTTTGGAAGTCAATGAAACAATCATTACTGTTGCCTCTTAATGTGTTTATTATAGTTCCTTTATTATAGTTTCCTCTGTCAGTGTACCTTTTAGAATGATTTTAGGGTCAAACATTAGGAAAGTGATAAAAAGTATTTCGGAACTTGGTGCGTGCTAGTATTTTTTGAAAAAAAAACACCAGTTTTCAGCTTTCATCATTACCCAGGAGAGAGCAGGGCTTTTAAATATAGATGAATGTTCTGACTCCAGCTCTGCAATAGTATTCACTCATTGCTTTGGTGACATACCGCCATCAGCCAGGAGGCATTTGTAAGATACTATTTCCTTCTCAGCCAGCAAATAAATCAAACTAACTGACTCCAGGCCCCTCATCCCAATCATGCTAATGATTATTTTTGAGAGATCTTTAACTGCTCATTATGGAGGTGTAAATTGCCCTATTTAAATGTTAGGAAGTTGTGGCGTCAATTTTTTCAAAAGCAAATCCGATAGATTTCTTTTAGGAAATAATATCATGGGATACAGTATATAATTTGGGACATGACATGTGCATGCGACTACCAGGTTGGTGGAAGGCGAACTGGATGAACCTTGGACTTCTTTCGTCTAGCAATTTTATGTTCTTATATTCAGTTCACTGTTACTGCACTGTTACATCCATACAAACACTACAAAATAAAAGTCACTAAACTTTACAGTGTATCTTCTGAAGGACTTTGAGACATCCTCTCGATCTGAAAGGCATTATATCGAATGCAAGTATAAAATTGTTATTATTATTACATGCAGAAATACTTTGGCATTGCAGTGTGGAAGAGCACTAACAACACAATCAGAAAAATGGTAGTTCGTGAAAAGATTCAGAGTGACTAATGGATATCTAGAAGTGTGCGATGACTGATTTGCAGGCTCCCCATGATTTAATTCTGGCCCTTTGAGGCAGGGTCCCACTAGTCGGTTAGGATGTAA